AATAACAACCCCTCCACCCTTGTCTGCAGGCCTAATGACAAGATCTTTATTTGCTAACAAGGATTTAATCCCATCGTTAATTAAGTGTTGATTACGTAATTTCTTAACTTTCATTTTGTCCAAATCCTTTAATGTTATATTTTTAAAAGCATTAATGTAAGAATGTGCCAGGGGGTTAAAAAGAGATGCGTTTTTCAAATTAGAAGATTTATCGGCGCATGCGCACTGGCCCATAGTGGCGCGCGGTGCCGAATGTGCATGCGCGACCACGTTTATTTAAACAGGCGTCCTGGGTCATGAGTCACCCCTTTGATAACGAGTGTGTTTTGCTCAAAACATATCAGGGGACTCGCCAAGCTGACGCCGCTATACACCAGGGAGCCACAGACCACCAGGGAGGTTGATAGCAGACCTGGCTTTTGCAGGCTTTCATTCATTTGTACATGTGAGTTTTATACCTTCATTTGGAATTTTCTAATAAAGACGTACTTCACCATCAATACCATTTTGCTTTGTGACTCGTTTATTTGCGAGTCATGAAAGGTGGACCACCATAGGAGGAGCACATACCGTGAGGCTGGGCGCCGTTGGACCTACCGGTGAGCTGGATGTGACCCCAGAGCATGCTGACATCCCTTGAGCGCTTATCCTAGTGACCGGATGTTGTCCGCAGTGTGAACCAGGCTCCCCTTTCCATTGATGACACACCAGAGTATATACATACAACGCTCTGTTTGTATGCCCTTGTGGTAAGCGCATAATTTTGTTGGTATCTTCAGGATTGCACGCTGATGTTTTGCTGTTATGAAAATTTTTTCACACAAATTTACATGGTTTAATTACCATACTGGGAACTTGAACAGGCTATTAGCATCATCATTTTGTCCCTACAGAACCATTGGGAACAAGGTTTTCTTTATAGCTTCTGTTTAGCGCTGCATACCTTGTTTGTATGTGTTTCTTAGTTCTAAGGTGTTGAGGTTTACCTTGTATGCCAGCTGCTGTGGTTTTTTCTTGTCTTACTTTGCGCTCACTTACCCTATTGTTAGGTGGCAATTATTGCCCTTATTTAAGGAAGGAAGGCAGCAAATGTTGTACATGCTGGTTACAGTGCATTTCTCTCTGAAATTCTGAGGAAAATGGGTCGTTCCAGACATTATTCAGAAGAACAGCGTACCTTAATTAAAAAGTTGATTGGAGAGGGGAAAACATATAAAGAAGTGCAGAAAATGATAGGCTGCTCAGCTAAAATGATCGCAAATGCTTTAAAATGGCAACCAAAACCTGAAAGACGTGGAAGAAAGCGAAAAACTACCATTCTAACGGATAGAAGAATAGCCAAAATGGCAAGGACTCAGCCAACAATCAGCTCCAGGAAGATCAAAGAAGGTCTAAAGTTACCTGTGAGTACTGCTACAATTAGAAATACGCCTATGTGAAGCCAAGCTATCTGCAAGAAGCCCCCGCAAAGTCCCACTGTTGAAAAAAAAGACGTGCTGAAGAGGTTACAATTTGCCAAAGAGCACATTGACTGGCCTAAAGAGAAATGGCGCAAACATTATATGGACTGATGAAAGTAAGATTGTTCTTTTTGGGTCTAGTGGCCGGAGAACAGTTTGTCAGACGACCCCCAAACACTGAATTCAAGCCACAGTACACTGTGAAGACAGTGAAGCATGGTTGCGCAAGCATCATGATATGGGGATGTTTCTCATACTACGGTGTTGGGCCTATTTATCGCATACCAGGGATCATGGATCAGTTTGAATACATCAGAATACTTGAAGAGGTCATGCTGCCTTATGCTGAAGAGGAAATGCCCTTGAAATGGGTGTTCCAACAAGACAACGACCCCAAACACACCAGAAAACATGCAACATCTTGGTTCCAGACCAACAAGATTGATGTTATGGAGTGGCCAGCCCAACCTTGGATCTTAATCCAATAGAAAACTTGTGGGGTGACATCAAAAATGCAGTTTTCTGAGGCAAAACCAAGAAATAGAGAAGAACTGTGGAATGTAGTCCAATCATCCTGGGCTGGAATACCTGTTCACAGGTGCCAGAAGTTGGTTGACTCCATGCAACACAGATGTACAGCAGTTCTCAAAAAACAGTGCTTATACAACTAAATATTAATTAAGTTATTCAAAGGAAAGCAAAATCATCAAACTTTTTCAATTAATATAGTGAATGTTTGAGTTTGTTGTAAAGAAGAATAATAAAAACACTGCTATTTTTTTGAAAAGTCTATATTCACTTTTCTTCAATTTCTTTAGAGGAACAACACAAATTTGATATATTTTTCTTCATGTTTTGATTTGGAATAGAATGTGTAGTATTCCCAATGCATTTGTGTGTATGGAAATAAAAGCTATTAGAAGGATTTTGAGCTTTATTCACTTTTTTTCAACACACTGCTATTATTTTGAACACAACTGTATATATATATATATATATATATATATATATATATATATATATATATATATATACACAGACAGAAACTATATATATATATATACAGTATATATATATATATATATACACATACACACACACACACATATATATATATACATACATACATACACACACACACACACAGCTTTTTTTGTCAGATAATATGTTCAGGAACTCCCCCCTTCCAAATCCCCCCCGTGTCTTATCCCCTATTTGGCTCCGGGCACTGTTCCTTGGTTCCGCCCTCTACCCACCTAACAGTACTGCCCCTTTTAGAGAATACAGAACTAAGTATAAATTTGTGGTGCTAAGTAATTTGTATGGAATTTGGTAATGGTAACAAGAATGCTAGTAAAATAGATCCCCTGTAGCCAGCAACAACAGACCCCCCCCTCTCAAGCAACAATGGCCTTAAAGCAATAATAGATCTTTGAAACTGAACTGGGTTGTTTTATAACAGTGGTCTCCAAACTGCGGCCCGGGGGGGCCAAATGTGGCTCTATGCTTGCTTTTGTCTGGCCCTTGGGGCACTATTTCATCCACTGATACCTACAATGGGGCATACTTCTCGCCACTGACACATTGAAGTGGCACAATTCCTCCCAATGACACCAACGATGAGACATAATTTCTCCCATTGACACCTATTAATGGGGACCCCAATGACACCAATGAAGGGGCATAATTCCTCCCAATGACAACAACAATGAGACACAATTTCTCCCAATGACACCAACAATGAGGCACAATTCCTCCCAATGATTCCAAAGATGGTGTGTCCATCTTTTATCCCATTGACGTCAGTACCTGTTCTACTCCTACTGGCCACAGTCCCGCCCCCCCTAGATAATGAAGGACAGTAAACTGGCTCTTTGTTTAGAAAGTTTGAAGACCAAAGGTAAGGGTTCACATATACTTTACTGTTCTCTGAGCACTTAGTGCAGTAAATGCTAACTCGGGAGAATTCACCCTCTCATATTCCCTGGGACTAGTATTGCAGCCTTGCAGGAACAAAAGCAACTAGCAGGGATGTGTTCTGCAGTAAGGAACAGCAAGCATTAGCAGTGATCAAAGTGCTTTAGATAGGAAATCTAACTGGGGACCAGGAGGTGAAGTATGAGTTTCATCTTAAGCAGAAATAAGATAAAAGTCCATGATAGTGATGGCCCTAGCTCAATATTAAATTGTACACTTTATTATCCATTTTACTGCCCATGGATATTTAAATTAAACATTTCCTAGGTAAAATACAGGGACTTCTGTTGTTGATCACCTTGTGAACATGAGTTACCTGGATAATATTTTTAGCCACTGACTTTAAAACTTTCTGACTTGCACTATATCATGGAAAGGGATACATTTTACAAAAGTACTGATTTGGAACAGTCTATCCAACAAGCCTCATTAAAAGGAATGAGGACCAACAATGATGTGCAAATGCACAGTAAGGGCTTGTTCATACCATGTCCATTGAGCTGAATAGATCAGCACAGGCCCAATGAAAGGACAAATAAAAAATATATATATTTTCTGTGTGGCTTTCTCAATCATAATGCTGCCTTGAGGTACTCCGTTGTATGGAGTTGAATGAAATGTAATTTTGTGACATTTCAATAATGCATGCAGGCTGGTTTGCATAAGCCCTTACTGATCTACAACAGTAATAAAATATAATGGGTGGTTGATTTTTCCCAGGATGAGCTGTGCTACTTTCTCTGCCTTATATTTTAAAAAGCCTGTTTGTTCACTTTAAATTTAACAATGGACCTCTACTAATTTCATAGGACTGTCAGACAATGTGACTTCTTATGGGAAGACTATTTATTATCCATCCTTCCTATATATTTTTAGGCGCTATATTGGATGAAACAAGTTTAATATCCAAGTTCACATGTCATCTGTTAAAGAGTGTTTGCTTTGTTGTGTTCTTGATTTCATTGGACACGTTTGGCCAACCTACTCTAGTATAAAATAATTGAACAGTATAGTATAGTAGCCATAGGGGCCAGTAAAGAAAGGAACACCAGACTGAACCATAGTGACTTCTTCAGTTCCTGGTCATCTTATTAAAGGAAAGAAACAGCGAGGCTACAATTACTGATGTATGCGAATACGCTTAACCTTAGATCACTCATAATAGACAATATTCTAGTAGTTGATAGAAGAAGAGATATTTTCTGTTGTGTAATAATCAGAGAGACTGCATGAACCACTTTCACTTTTAATAAAGAACTGTTCTCAGGCTGAGTTATTTATTTCCGCTACACTGGAGTAAAACACAAACCTTTCTTCTTGAAACCACACAGCGAAGTCACATCCGTGCATAGTGAAAATAAACTTTACAGACTATATAAATGCTTGGCTAAAAATGCAGGTGGTACTCTGGGAAAAAAATCATTTGTTTAGATGGACCTTGCACGGCATGAACTGGTCATTAAATTGTATAGCAGGAAGGTGAACCCCCTTCCAGATTAATGTCTGCAAACTGTATGCAGAAACTAGTAAAATAACCTGTGATGTGTTCACTTTCTTGCTTAGACTTTGCTGGATAAGTGCCATAACATTGCCTCTGTGTCTCTGCTGGGCTCCCCTCATCTCTCTGATGCTGCCTTCAAAGTTCTCGCACATGGAAAGAAGCTTGTGAAAATCAGGATTGAAGGTCAGATTCTACCCTGAAAAAAAATCTGTTTCAATTCTTTGTACCCTTTCTTTTTTTTTATTAAAGAGTCAGTCCACACATAAGGTAATATTTAAGTAATAGGTAGACTTTAAAGACAGTTATGCACCTAACTTGTTCTGTACCTAGATATTCCAACAGCAAGATCTCTGGCTCTTGCTGAATCCCTGATTCTGCTTCTGTCCATATTGTTGTGTGTTCTCACTTATCTTTGTGTTTTTCAGCACCTTCTTTTGCATTCTCTATGTCAGGGGTCTCCAAACTTTCTAAACAAAGGGTCAGTGGGAGTGGAAAATGTCCTGGTATCAGTGGAAGTAAACAATGCCTCAAGCTGGGTGATCAATGGGAGTAAGAGATTACAAACCACCATTTGTCAATAGGAGGAGTAATAGTGCCCCATCATTAGTATCAGTTGGAGGAATAATGCCATATTATTGGTATCAGTTGGAGGAATAATGCCCCATTATTGGTATCAGTTGGAGGAATAAGGCCCTATTATTGGTATCAGTCGAAGGAATAGTGCCCCATCATTAGTATCAGTTGGAGGAATAATGCCCTATTATTGGTATCAGTTGAAGGAATAACGTCTCATCATTGGTATTAGTTGGAGGAATAGTCCTCTATCACTTGCGCTGGATAGGTGCAAGAAAAGGCCCACAGCTTAGAGACCACTGCTATATACTATAAAATAAAAAAAACATCCAACAAGAAGTGTGAGAATCCCTCAGAGGCCACAACAGGTACTAAATACCCAGAAATTGATCTTACCAAAACATGCTTGGAGAGAGGAAAGAAACTGTCTTCATGTACCACAAACAAATATATCGGTTTTGGGTGGACCGACCCTTTAATATGGATAATTCTTTTTTCTTTTCAGGTAATAATCGGATCACTGATGCTAGCATCAAGGCAATCAGCAAATCTTGCCCCAGTTTGAACCACATTTATTTGGCTGACTGCCAGAAAATTACAGATATTAGCTTAAAGGCAATTTCATTATTGAAAAACATTACTGTCCTGAACGTAGCGGACTGCATAAGGTATGTTAATAACCAAATATACCACACGACTGAACATTCAATACATTATTATCAACACCTGGGTCCATGTACAGCTACAGAAAAGAAATGTCTGAAGAAAAGTTTGTGTTGCTTTTAGTAGCTATACCCCACCAGTAAAACCTGTTGATCCTGCCAGAACTCCTATGAGCACCTAACTTTCTGTCCATATAGTTTTGTGTATTTCTGCTTACCTCTGTATGTTCCAACATACAGGAAGTGTGGGAACCCATAATAATGGCTCATAACCATAGCCTCTACTGATATATCAGTTGCCAGTTCTCAGAGCACTCCTTACTTATGTTATAGAAATGTGGAGAGGAGGAGAGGTTCTCCAGTCTTAACCCTTCATATTCTAGGGTGACAATACTGCTTTTCCATAGATACAGTACAGAAAGTTAGTGCTGCCATCCTAGGACACGAAGTGTGTTATTGGCAGGATCACCAGGTGAAGAAAGCCTGAAAAAAGAAACCAAATTCAGCCTCCACATCTGAGCACTAGTAAGCTGCAATAAATTGCATTTTCATTCTTGGGTCTAAATATACCAGCTTGAAAGTCAAACAAATGAGTTAAGACAATAGATATTCTTGCTCATTTTCTTGCATTATATGCACATATCCCTTTTTATGTAGCACAAGAAATAAGCTTTTGTCCTAATAGCAAATATATACCCATACATACATGTTTTCAGGCACAATTAGCTGGATGGACTGTAGATATTCTTTGTTCAAAGCTAGATGCATCAATGTGCTTGCAAGTAGGGATGTATTGCTCTCTCATAATCAAAGCATACCTATTCATTATATTTTCTAAGTGGAAGAAGAACATTAAAGGTAACAGAGGCAAAAAAAAAGGTGCCACAAGGTTACACTTTGTAAAACATTTAACAACTTTCTCAATGATTTCATTCCCCAAGGTGGAAAATTAAACAATTTGGCCTTTTTAAGTATTAATACTGTAAACTATGTATCTGTTTTCTGTTATTTTGGACTGCGCCAATTTAGTTACATTGTCTAATGGAAATTCCCAATTCTCTGATTCTTACTAGCTACTAAATGACCCCTTAACCCCCTTAATATTTCTAAAACAAATAAAGCCTTTTAAATATCCAGAGGCTGTGAACATGGACTGCCAGATTCCATATGACATTTCTGTCTAGTAAAATGTATAAATGAGAGGCAGCACACTAAACAGCTTAATGTTTAACCAATTGCTTGTATTATTTAAAGTGGTTATAAAGCATAACCGTTTTTTACCTTAATGCATTCCTTGCATTAAGGTAAAAAATATTTAGGCATCAGTGTCCTCCCTCAGCTCCCCTTTTACTTACCTGAGCCTTCATTCGATCCAGCACTGTGCATGATACAGCTCTTCTCTCCCCTCAGTTCCAAGCCTCACAGACTTTGTTGGGGCACCTGGAGCCACTGGCTCCCGCTGCTGTCAATCAAAGCCAGTGTCGATAAAGCAGCTTTCTGTGTCAATGGATGCAGACAACAGGGTTCGGGAGCGAGCCCGCTCAAGTGCCCCTATTGGAAGCAGCTTCCTATGGGGGCACTGGACAGAGAAGAGGAGCCAGCAGCTCAGTGTAATTCCATTGCACAGAGCAGGTGTGCATGAACCTGTTTGTTATGAAAAAAATTATGTAACAACCACTTTAAACAAGTAACCTGGGTATAAACATATTGAAATTTGGCCGGTTCAGCAGGAACTGGCCAAATTTTGGTACGTGTGTACCCATCTATTTAACAGAAGATGGTCGTTAGACCAACTTCTGCTGAACTATCCTGTTGGAAAGCCAGCATTTGATCAGCACTTGCAGCCAATGACTACAGGCTGATCAGTATATTCTGATGGGGAGGAAGAGTCCCTATTGTCAGAATACAATAGCATGGTGGGGGAGATCTCTGCAACTAACTCACTTGGATGCTGGTATCTGAAGATTTTTTCATTCAACCCACTGGTTGAACAAAACAAAAATTGTGTATACCTTGCTATGTAATACAGTTAACAGCATACGCAAATCAAAACTCACCAAGACCATGAAATAAGCAAATCCTGATGCATGATAAAACAGTGTGATAACCATGGTAAAAATCTGAGTATCCAATATAGAGGAGAGAAGCAAAAGCTCCTGTTGCTATAATCCTAAGGAAGAGATGGGAACTCTCCTTGAAACGCGTAGACTCACAGGCAACAGAAAGTCCACTCTAGACATTAGAGGTTTTTACATGTGCATATGTGGCTTTCATTTCCAGACCAGACATCTCACTGGCCATGGGCTGTGTGTTGGTGCTGACATCTTGGATCTCCTCCAAACTCCCCACTGGGTTGGAAATTACACATGCAAAGAAAACTAAGCAATTCTGCCAAAACGGAAATCAGCTGTATGAGAGATTATATACTATCAGCCATTTAGTGGATTTTATGTAGCAGGTACTATCTTTGCATTGATCTGAACAATCTGAACACCAACTGTAAAAAACACTAGGAATCAGAGTATTCCGCATACATATGCATGTTTTTTTTTTTCTCCAGTCTGGCTGCTCATTGGCCATTAGCAGTGTGGGTGTTGAAATCTTGGATCTCTTCCAAACTCCCTACTTGATCGTGCATTACACATACAGGGCAAGACTAAGCTATTCTGCCAGAATGGTGGGATGAGCTTTAATGAAAGACTACTTACCATCAGACTTTTGCACTGCTTTATTACATAGGTAAAATAAAATGTACCAATATACAAAATATAAAATATACATTGGAAAATGCTATGCTGTTTTATTGTGTGCAAGAAAGGTGTAATTTATAGCACCAATATATTTCAGCAACTGGGATACCCTTAGCGCTTTTAACTGTAAAAGTAAATGTGTCCCAGATGTTGGGGCATGAAATCGCTGTACAACAGCTGAATGGTGTAGAGAAATTGTTTCAGCTGCAGTATACGCTATATCTTTGGAGATTTAAAAAAAGTGTTGCTTCTGACAGGTGCCAAAGTAAAGGCATCTTTTTACAAGGCATGCTGCAAGTATGCATATTCATACTCCAAATGTTCCTAGAATGGAAAAAGATAGAGGATGAAAAACTACTCAACAACCGTACAAGCATAGTATGACATTAAAGCCCAATTCCATACAAAACGTTTTCTTTTTTTTGTAACGTGGGGATGGGTTAGTAGTTGTGTCAGATTTTAGGGCTGTTTGTTTCCTGGTAACACCCATCTTTGACACAGGAAGCCAGGGAAAATCTCCCCAGCAAGAATATGGACTGTCAAAAGCTGGTAAAGCTTCCAGCAGCTCTTCCCTACTCCATCCTAAAGGCAAAATATGTTTTGGCTTGAGTTGGGGTCTTGATCAGTGCAACTAGTGGGAAATATTTTTGTATGTTAAAATTGGATACACATGTGATATAAAGTTTGGGAAATCTTTGTTAATGTTAAAATGTTATTTTGGCTCTTAATAAATGAAATTTTTATTTACAGAAGTCTATGCGGCATTTTATCATTCATTTCCTTTTCTGTTTATTCTGCTGCACATATTGTTACCAATCTGCATTTATTTGAAGTAGATGATTACTCCAAAGTATTGTAAAATGTTCCAGTGAAAAGGAAGGCTTTATTGCAGAATAATTATTTAATGGCCATCAGGTTAGTGTGACATATCTGGTTCACTGTAAAATGTCATGCATACAGACATGTTTCAGTGCCAAAACTTTTGTCTTTTAGCAACCACGTGGAGTAAAACTGTGTTTTCAGTAGATTTGATGCAATTTTATTCAAGGAATTTTTTTTTCTATAACAGAAGTAATTTTTTCAGTGACCTAACATACAGTATTTTAGTATAGTGCTCCAAATTGGAAAAAGAGGTTTTAAACTTCAAGTATCAATCGCTCTAAAAAGTAGATTGCCTACCTGATAACGACAAATGCCTACCTGATAACTCCAATAAAAAAGATAGTTTGCAAATTTCCTTTTGAATCATTGTTATATTGCTATATACAGTAGCTCTAATATCCTGTGTTTTTCATTGCAGGGTAAGTGACCCAGGAGTGAGACAAGTTCTAGAAGGCCCTTCAGGAATCAAGATAAAAGAGCTAAATTTAACAAACTGTTTACGTGTCAGTGACTTGTCCCTTCTCAGGATTGCACAAAAGTAAGTCTGAGTTTAAGTCCACACATTCTGAAATGGAAAAATTATAATTTTTGTCACATTTAGGAAAAATCTCATTATAGGATTTGGTCCAGGCAAGGGGAATTTTCTTTAGGCAGAAATGCTTTTTTATTCCCATTGCATTACTTTTTTTGTGATTTTATGTATAACGTGGTGTCAGATAGATGTGAGAGCTTATGCTGTAGGTTACAATTTCATCTGTATTTCATTTCTAGTGTTTTGTCTGACTGTTCTTTTATGTCCAATTCATTAATCTCCCCCCAGACTAACTTTTTAGATATTGAGACATTTTATATCTATCAACTCCAACATTCTCTTATTTTTAGATAACCCTCAAACTCTGTATAGTGGTGTTCAATAACCCCCATTTTCTCCATGCTGTTTAAAAAAAGAACTTCAGCCACCGGTCAATATTATGTAGAATTTAATAATTCATAAAAAGCCAATAAATTGAGTGTCCTAAGACCTGGTTCACATCTATGCAGTGTTGTGGCCTGCATTTGCGTGGGTACGGCAGCCTGTTCATTTCATTGGGCTGGCATGCCTGTGTTTCTTGCAGGAAAAAGGTTCCTGCACCATTCTAAAAACACAGCAGCTGTGAAATTGCATGCGATTTCCTTGCGGTTTCCCACACCCGCAAACACCCGTTTTTAGATGCAAGGGGGGTGCCATTCAGAATGACCCACAAGAAATAATCCGCAACCACCCATGTAAATG